TTGATTGATTGATTTTATATATATGTTGCAGGCACTTCAGATAATCAGTCATTTTGTAAAATGCCTAGGCATTTTACAAAAAGACGGCTGTTTGAAAAATGACTGAACGCAACCAGGCTTTTTTCAAAATGGCTAGACATTTTACAAAATGACTAGGCATTTTGCAAAATGTCTGACCAGCATGGAGCGTAGATCCCACTACAGATACTATGGCCAACAGTTTTTGGACGTCTTCCTATACCCTATAGGTACGTGTTCAGCCTGTAGCTGATCGATTTGAAGCTCTGTGATAACAACAATGCTGAGTAACGACCAGGTTGAGTTGCAGACTCGGCTGTAGCATGAAGCATTGTTTAGTTAACGCTGTAAAAACTCCCAAGTACATCAACGCCGTTCATGTTCTGCCTGAAACTAGACCTAACAAAACCAGCCGGAGACCGGCCCTAGTCAATAGGCAGGCCCGGTTAATGTACAATTACATGTAAACGAATGAGTGTAGTCTTTGTTTGATTGTGCCATTACGGACAAAACTGCATTATGTATTTGGACATTAAAAACACGTTCGAATTTAATTATAATTTCCCACTCCTTCTCTCTCATCCTCACATTTTAACACGCGCAGTGGAAGGGGGGGGGGGGGCGGATTCCGCCCACTCCTCCTGTTTTTCGCCAATAACTCGCGCCGCAAGGTTTTCTTTAGGTTTACTTCCTAACTTTTCTTTGGAATAAAAAGCTCTCTGGTCACAATGAATATTAAAGCAATAATTAACAAAACACGATTAATTTTGCTCTGTGGCAACAGCTTTGAGTACCTACTTGCATGGTCCCAGTTAAAAATATCAAGCTCCACATCGGGAGAATCATCAGGTCGCTTGGCGTAGGACGATAGCGTTGGTTTCAGAAGACACTAACGCCTAAGTGTGTGGGATCGAATCTTCGCGACCTCTAATAGTTTTACAGATACAGGCCGGCATATGGTCAGTCGTTTGTTGACGCTCCAGATCGATCATTTTAAATCCAGCAGCGTCGCTGACGTGGGGGTTGGAAATGTCGCGGGCCTGCACTTCTCAAAATAGAGGTAGGTATGGACTTCCCACTGCTGGACTCCTCTGGTCATAATGCTGGACTCCTCGGTCCACCTACACGCTACCAAAACGTATATAATTAGGTACTCGTATCTACAGCACACTGCTCAGTCATTTTGTAAAATGGCTAGGTATTTTGTAAAATGCCTAGGCATTTTACAAAATGACTGATTTTCTAAAGTGCCTGCAGTATACATATACATTAAAATATTTACTCGAGGTAAAAAGAAAGAGATCACTTGGTATACAGTAGGGGAGAGTGGGGCAAAGCGGCCACCCGGGGCAAAGCGGCCACCCATCGTTTTAGCCCTTCATAGCTGGCGTCAGTTCCAATTTATGGTTTCCAATTATGCTTCTCTTCACGGTCGTTCGAATGAGCCAGACCGGGGTTTCAGGCCCATCACCATTGTTCTGTGAAACACGGAAAAGCATTTCTTGCCAGGTTACCAACTATGTTTACAGTTTTTAAATGTTATGTTATTCCATAACCGTTTGGAATTTTTATAAGCGTTCTTGTCCATGTATTGCATGGTTATCGTACATGTATTCTACCAATTTTAATGTTTTTTTACCCCACTAAAAGCTAAGCTGGCATATTTTTGTCTCGGACGGTATGCGCGGGACGAAGTGGCCACCCCCCAATTGGCCATAAGTTGTTTCCATCTGGATAAAAAAAAAACATTATATTCAAATGTGTCGTCATGCATTCATCTTGGCCACTTTTCAGTTGCGAGTTACCAAATAATGCAATTAAATGTTTTTTTTTTATTTGTTTACCTACAGGCGGGATGCTGACAAAGCAAACATCCATCCTCGCTTAAACCTTGTCACCATCAAATACCCTAGTCGTACATGAGGCAACTATTTTGTTTCTCATATCGGGACTTGAGAAGACGCCGGTGGCCGCTTTGCTCCAGGGTATGGGGCAAAGTGGCCAATATGCATAGGTTAAAAGTTTTGTCAATATCTTCCATATGTGAACGCCTTTGGAAATAAAACGCGGTTGAAATAAAAGGCAACTTAATAGGGATCACATTGGTATAGAAAGAATCTTTCCAAGTTTAAAAATCAAGCGTTGGCATCGTGAGAAGCGTTAGGGTGGCCGCTTTGCCCCACTCTCCCCTACCTACCCTCGCACGTCCGTCCAAGGCACCGACTGAGCAAAAAGTGACCACATTTCAGTTGACCTGCCCTGACCTCGACTCGGTTCGGTCACGTGATAAGATGGCAGCAGCTGTCAGGTCAGGTCATACGGCACCGGAAATTCCGATAAGCAACTAATGTAGCTACCAAAACCGTGATGGGAATCTGATGGCCTACATGACTATATAACAAATAAAGTACGGGTCAGAGAAGTGTATCAGACACTCTGATAGAAAGTACGGATATGTCCGGACAAAACTTAAAATACAGTTGGCACTTGGCAATCTTGTTCGACTCCTGAGGTTCTGTTACCCTCGGCTTCCGGCCGGCTCGCGGTAACAGGCGCACGGCTTGCGCCGACCACCTGAAGTACAAAAATGCCCCTCATTTTCGATATAGCTGGCTAAAGCAGCTAAATGATACTTTTCTGAAAGGCAATTGATTGGTGAACAACATGTTGATATAAAAGAACAGCGGTACCTAGCGGGACTTTTTATATCGGCATTCCAGAATGTTTATAACAGTATAAGTAACTCACAATTTTGGGAGCATCTCAAAAACTTTACATTTGAAGTGTATTTATATATTCCGCTATAAGTTTTTCTTTCCATCGTGTAGCCCATGGTCTAAACTATCAGGCTCGACCCCGAAAATATTGATAAAGCCGTCTAATATATACACTTTTTTGCCTACATTAGCTGCTACTTTTTTCCTACGAAAACAGGTCCACGATGCTTGTCAGTTTGTCACACAACTTTGTGTTTGGGCTGATGTGGCGCAAACGCTGTGCACTATGGACGAAAAGTATTTGCAGATTCGTGGTCCATGGACATTTCATAACTGTGACACAGTTTAACTCAATTTGGAAAAGGTCGGCAAATCCAGGGGGCGTCGAAGTCTAGTAAGAAAATCTGAAAATCTCCGGCGTGACGTCACGTCGGGGATGACCGACGGCACCTTGCACTGAAAGATACGGCAGAACGGCTATTTTTGAAAAATGATTAAAAATGCTTTTGTGCTATTATGACACATAAAACGCTTATCAGCATGTTCCTCATCATGTGATAAAGGCATATCCGTGGTCGAAAATAACCGAGACCCTCCCAATTTCCAACCATCGACCTGATAAGCAAAGGATGTAAGCGTAATCCTTAAGGGCGACTTTCCGTTACATATCTGTACATATGCAGCCTTATGGAAATCGGTAGTTTGGCGATTGGCGACGCGCGCGACATCTGTGCTGCGACTGTAGCGACACCTGGTGGCTGCTTTTCTGCTGTATGTAGGTATTGGGGTTTTGCCAGATGTGGTTCCTGCTGCTACACTACTATGTTGACTCAATACTAGAAAAGTTATTTTGCTAGTAAAAGGCAAGCAAATTGAAAGTTGATTTGTAAAATTGCTTATAAATGATTACGAGATATGAATAAAGAAATTTTGATTGAATAATTATTTAAATAATCAACCGTGAAACTATATTCTGGTAGGTTTAGTAGAAATAAGTCCGTGCAACCTTGTATTTAAGGCCTTGGGCAAATCCACCAATGTCGCGCTAATACCGGCCGCGGTCCCATCGTGCGCTAGCGTATAATCGTGTTACAGCGTACTTTTTATGATATAGGCCATGACCTCACTGCTGGGGTCCTCAAACTGAATGGGATAGTTCGCCGAGCCGCCGCAACCCATGACGCGATACTTTCAAAAGAGACTAGACTTGGAGATTGGACTGCCTACTTTTCTGTCGGCTCCACTTCAGAGTCGGACCCCCCCCCCCCCCCCACACACACACACACAAATCCGTGACGACGCCCCTGTGTAAGCTGACATACGCCGAATCGCTATTCCAGCCTGACTCACATGATCTAGAGGGATAGATCGAAGGTCAACTGTGATCATGGTCATGAAATTTACATGGTAGGTGTACTATTGGTCTCAAGATAAGGGCCCAGGCGACCTGCAGTTTTGATGCGGTGAATACCCTTACCCTCTCTGCAGATCGGGCCGAGTGCACCCCTCCTCCCACCCAGCACCACCCCCCACTAGAGTTGTGGCGCGGTTGAGGGTATTCACCGCATCCCAACTTTAGGTCGGCTGGGCCCTTATATTGAGACCAATATTACAATTGATTAACTCGAGAGTACTTAGTTTCGTCGCGTTCGGTCGCTTTTTGCGTGAGTTAATCGCGAAAAACCGGTTGTCCGTTCGACTTCCCATCTCCTGTAAGTGCAAGGGTCAAATTAATATGATATACATATAAGTTCGACTCATCCCTGCAGATCTGAACAGCTGAACCTACATGACAAGCAACTGCTGGTCTGCCAACCACTTGCCCAATGTCAATGTGCAGTTCATAATATCAACACACTTCATCGGTTCATACCATATTCCAAAGTCCAGTGTCCTGCTCGTCTCCTCAGGTCTGTCCTTAGTCAGCACCCAAGTCCAATGTCCTGCATCATGGTTCATCCTTGCCCAAAATCCAGTACCCGGATCCGGGATCGTCTATTGGTCCGTCCTTATCCAATACCCAGTGTCCTGTATCCTGATTCATCCTTGCCCAACATGCAGAGTCCGAATCGTTTCCCCGGTCCACTCGTTTTCAAAGGTCATCGTCTAGCTCCTTTCCTGGTCCTAATGAGAGCCAAAAGTTTTGTCTCCCGCTCGTCTGCCGGTCCATCCGTGTATACCGTTCAGTTCCGCCGGTCGCACTCGTCTCCCGGGTCCACTGCCAGAGTCCACTGTCAGCGCTGCTCGCCGCGTCTGGGGCCGTACCTGCTGACCTCGCTGATGAACAGACTGCCGTTCTCGCGGACGGCGGCGCCCAGCTGCGACAGCGGCCGGTCGGCGCTCCAGACGGGCCGCGCCGCCGGCCAGCCCACCGCCAGGCACTGCACCAACAGCGGTCGCGCCTGCTCGGCCAGTACCAGTCGCGAGAGCGAGGCTATTCGTGCCGCAACTGCCGACATCAGACAACAGGGTGAGCTCAATCAGCGTGTCCGCGCCAGCCCATAACCCGGCCCAGTCTCGGCCAGTGCTGCCGCCGGGCTCCGCGGCGCCCTCGTTTACCACCGGCCGCGTTATGACGGCCGCCCGTATCATCGAACGACGCCATCAACGGCCGAATGACCTAACAAGTGGTGCTTTTTCATTTTCATTCCCTAAAGGTGTAGTAAGTGACACATAAAAGTGACATTTTGTCAGCCGAGCGTCCAATATTGTACACTATCACGACTCACAAGAGTGCGGACTTCTGTCAGTTGGCAGATAGAGCCACCTTCTATAGAGCCTTGGAGCAACCCACTGTTTGACCAATTGCCGTAAAAGGGGTGACTGCCTAGCGGGATGGCTTTGCCACGTTTCTCGGAAATGTTTTAGGGTGGTCTTGTTACGAACGAGGCCCAACTGTCTCTAAATCTCCGATAACTTCCTGCCACGGGCCCGGTTGCAACTAGCGACCAATAAAAGACTAAATTTGGCTCCTCGCGTATTCTTATTGAACCAAACAAAACAGGCAAACTGTGCAATGCGATTGTGCAAGTAGGATGTGAATGGTCGGCTCGGCAGTAGGCCGACCTTACACGCGAAAATACCTCCCTTGACAACGGTTAAGCCATGGGTGACAAGTGAAACCTCCGCAGAGGACTATCCGTGTCCAATGACCAATATGACTCAGAGTACATATATTGACCATGGGCGCAGTGGCCGGGACTAGGCACCGAGACGTCTGGTTAAGAGGGTGGACTTCAGTCCCGCCTCTCCCATTTGGACCGCCCAATGCAGTTAAGCCAGAAGCTTTGGACAAGACGCGAGTCCCATCTGACAGCCGCCAACGAAACTACATTGCACAAGCCGCGAAGGGCGCTACTAGCGGGCCAGAAGTCCCGCACCAGCAGCCCAACACAGCGGTCCACCCGACCCCGACCGACTCTCGACCCAGAGTGACATGCCGCTGCGGCCCCTGACCCCACATGGCGCACGGTCAGGTCACGTGCTCGCCGACCAATGAGCCCACCGCGCGGGCGCCCGCCGGGTAGGCTGTGCCGCCCGCCGCTCGCTGCAGCGGCGGCGGCCAGCTGTACCACGCCAGCTGTACCACCCGGCAGCAGTTACACAATCTTAACATAGGTATTCCCCACCAAATGTGGGAACCCACGGGTTAACACATTTTAAAACTCAACCACAAGCACTTCGATGCGGCTAAAAATACACGATCACCTGTCATCGTTTCACCCGTCCTCACGCTCACTTGTACGCCGCCGTCAATCGCAACCTGAGCCTCGTTTCATAAAGTGAGTCCGTAACTTACGCCAGTTTTTGGTCTTGTATTGCAAGTGCATGTGAAGCAATGACGATAGCTTGACTCGTTGGATTTATTTATCTTGCAAGCAAGAACAGAAGGGAGAAGGGGAAATACATTTTTCGCTTCACATTCGCTTGCAATACAAGCTCAAAAACCGGCGTAAGTTACGGACTCGCTTTATGAAACGGGGCCAGATCGGGAGCTGCGGGGCGTCAGCCACCCTCTCGAAGCCGGCGCGCGACAGATGCGTGCCGTCCTGACTGAACCAGGAGGCGCACCAGTGGCTTAGACAACGCACGCCATGCAACTTGCTGGTCAACTGGCGACCCATGGGCACGAACTGAACCAGGTCCGCCAGCTCACGAAGAAGGCGGCGTTCCAAGTGGTATGCGGCCGTCTGCTGCCACTTAACGGGGGTGACCTCCCCGCTGAGTCGCGGAAGGGGGCCCAGCACCATCACGCCGTCCGCGTGGGACAGCAGCCCCTCGAGGACCTGACGCGCATAGTCCACTGCCCGATCCAGCGTGTCGTCGGATCCAGCGTGTCGTCGGATCCAGCGTGCGCAGTGAGTCAACTGTAAACATTATTGCCAGTCAACCAGATGAGACAGGACCCGCTGCGGCGGCCCCCCGGGCGGCGAATGTGATCCACTCCCGCCGGAGGTCCGGGAGATCCCTCGCCAACGACTTCCAGGTGGCGCCTCCCCTTGACAGATTGAGGAGCTCCTCTGACGGTAGTCGCGATTCCAGCCTCGAGTCACGGGCAATGGAATCCCCGAGAACCAGGTGTAGAGCTGTCATCTGGCGCCGCACACTGGGCCGATCGCCAGGTCTAGCACGACATGGGTAAAAAAAATCGAACTTTGTGAATGTGCAATGAAACCTATACCAATTTGTTCAAAAATGTTCATACTACATTGCTGTGGTCTTTGTTTTCCAACACAATTGCTATTTCATGGCGAAAACTCAGCTTAAACACAAACTTCGGAATCGTTTAGACCGAACTCGTCCCCCGCACTCTTCGACAACGTATCTTTGATCCACGAAAACAATCACAATTTGAGGAGGAATTCCACATTTATATACATCAAACGATAGCTCCGGGTCTGCAGAATACACATAACCACGTGAAAATGGCAAACTCTTACTTGGTTATGATGTATTGGCACCGCAAAGATTTAAAGACGAAAATATAATTTCACATAATTGATGTCACACACAAAATAGACTTTTCAAAAAGTATCGCAGAGTACCGCTTCGAAAATCTCGCTACATGTCAATGATTCATTGCACTACAAGATCCAACAGTCATTTCATTTTTTGCGACTTTGGATGTAGCAGCCAAACATCAATCCGCGCCGGACCGGTGCTCGGCGTCAAACGCGCCGGGCCGGGAGGTGTTGATTGAACACTCCCCTTCTAACTCGGCTCTTGGGCCACATAGCGACACGTAGTAAGTGGCATTCGAAAGAGCGCCCGAAATTCCAGATGGAGTGATTAGTCATTTCTAGGTCAGGTCAAAGGTCACGTCACCAGAGGTCATCAAAGGTAAAATGTTGCATATATCAACATTTCTCGAAAACCGGCCCTTACCTCGGGGACCAATAGAGCTACATCGTCGCGGAAAAGTGCATTCAATTGCTCTTTTAGCGGTCTTTCTGAAATAAGCCCTCAGATTTGGCTTAACCCTCGCCCGTAGTGGTGTTTTCCAGCCGCGAACGTATAGAAGGGGTCCGTTGGACCCCCCCCCCGCCGTTTCGCCCCTGATCGAGCTAGAGCTTTGCGGAAAAGACGAGCGTGTTGCCCGTGACAAGAGGAAGCTGATGATACCCAATTGTAAGGTCCTAGGTCATCGGTTGACCTTCCAGGTCAGGTCAATGACCCAAAAGTCGGGTAAATCGGGACCTGTTAGAGCGTCGTAAAGGGTGGCTGCTGTAGGTTTTTTGGGTGCTGATCACGAATATAATGTTATTTACGATCATAGATGATGTCTTCATACATTTAGGCCAGGTCGGGTCAGGTCAGGTCAGGTCAACCAGTAGGCAGTAAGGGTTTGGCCGGGTATTTGCAGTAGGTGGCAACCGCCTCTGACAGCTTTGTAACATGTTACGAAGGCACCAAAGCTACATAGTAAATGTTCAAATGGTTGCTAGATTCGAATTCAGCTTCAAAAACTAGCCTAGAAACATGTAAAACTCGAAAAAGTGAACCAAGGTCATCAAAGGTCAATGACCTTACCTGACCTTCTGGTGACCTTGACACCCACCCTAATGCATGGGAGCAACATAATATCCCATGTTTGAACGTTTTAAACCAAGAAAAGACTGCAAACCCGCGGCTAATGCGAGCCGACATACGCTGAATCGCGATTCCGGCCAAACATGGTCTCGAAAGAAGGTCACAGGCAGGGGCGTCGCCGACGGGGGGGGGGTCGGGGGGGGTCGTGACCCCCCCACTCTTGAAAACTGGGGGTGTCGACCCCCCCACTTTTTGCGATGCTGAGTATGCTTTTTTAGCTTTTATGTCAGTGAAGCAGGCGTCAGCAACACCAACAAATACATCAGATTCAGAATCGCTTCAAGAGCTCCCTAAAGCCAATTAGCCAATTACCTGAAGTTCAATTAGCTATGGGCGGGGAACACCAGCACAACAATATTTTTAAGTAGCCACCATTCTAGTACCTTTTTATCCCTCAAAAGATTTGACGCGCCAAAACTGCCCCGAGCGTTCGTCTGATCGTTAAAAAAAAAATGGTCGCAGTCGATTCGTCGGATCAGTACCTAACTACAAAACTACAAACTAGCCTCAGCCCCATGGCTACCGTCACAACTAGCTGTACAGTGCACATGTAGGGGAAAGGGAGTCAGATGAAACCGTCTCGGGCTTTCGCAAAGAAGTCGCGCAAAAAGGAGCCGATTGCAACGAAACTTCCGGTGCGCTCGAGTTAATCACCTACTAAAAAATAAATCGATATCCCTGATTCAAATAAAGATGACCTTGGTTCACTTTTTCATAACATGCTTTTAATTTAGGTATAGGAAAGTTTTTGGAGCTGATTTTGAACTTAGCGCCCATCTGAACATTTAAGAAGTAGTTGTGCTGCTTATACATATGTATAACATGTTAGGAAGCAATCGGTGGTGGTCATCCACTATTAGGTACTGGTCGATCTGACCTGACCTGATCTACCCCAAATGCATGGAGTCATCGTCTTCGTTCAAAACTAAGATAACATTCGTAATCAGAACCTCGAAAAACCATCACAACTGACATTCGCAAAGTTCTAGCAGGTCCCGAGTTTCCCTACTTATTGGCGATGACCTGAGTCCTGAGATGACCCGAAACCTTGTAAATGGGTATCATCGGCTTTCTCTCGTCACGGGCAGCATGCTCTTTTTCCGCAAACCTCTAGATCGATCAGGGGTCGAAAGCATACCTCAGCGGTACTTTAGTATACGTTATACGTTAGCGACTGGGAACCCACCAATAGAAGGGCTACAGTGAAGCAGAAAACATATTCGATAGCTCTTTCAACGCTCTTTCGCTAGCTTCGCGTCAGATTTCATCTCAGGTCTATGTTTTGCCCATAGAAGGCAAACAGCTAGCTGGACAGAGTCTGCCGAAACATTTGCTTTGCAATAACTTTAGATTCCGTGA